CGCCCTCCGCCGCCTTCGGCGGCGGAGGGGCGGCATTTTTCGATAGGCTAGGGGCATCGGCCCCCAGATGCCCCCCCCTGGATCCGCCCCTGATCCTGACGCTTGTGAACGCCCTGGTCATATCACAGGTCAGATACTGTTTATCGGTGTACGGCGGCACTAGTAAGGAGAACTTATGTCGTGTTCAAAAGGTGCTGAACTACGCTGCCAAGGTTGTATTCGGTCGCAGGAAGTATGACCACGCATCTGACCTGCTGCGGCGGCTGGAGTGGCTCAGCGCAGATCAGCTAGTGTCGTACCACACTCTCAGCCTGCTGCACAAGGTACGCCGCAGCGGGGAACCCGAGGAGCTGGCAGCCGGTCTCGCCACTGTGGCCGAGGCCCGCGGCCGCGACCGGGACGTGGTCACGCGACAGGACCACCTGCTCCACGTGCCGCGGTGCCGCACCGAGATGGGGAGGAGGCGGTTTCAGTGCCGCGGGCCGGCCGCTTATAACGCGCTGCCGCCCGACCTGCCGCGGCTACCTCCGCACCTGTTTGGCTGCCGCCTCAGGCTGCACCTCAGAGTTGGAACCGATTTAAGACGCGACTGAGTTTTTGTGTGTATGTGTGTGCGTGCGTGTGACAGTTGTATGTTTGATCGTTGTCATTTTGTGCCTACTCTCCCATTGCCGATTGACGTTCATTTGTTTTATCACGTGACGAAAGGCAGTAATAGCCGCAAGTATATTGCGGATGTCCTTAATACAGTATGAGATGAGATGAGAGAGATGAGAAATTTGTAAGTTAAAATTTTTAACAAAAAAGGTGTCTATTGGATGCAGTTTGAGCTCAGGAACACGATGGTGCTATTTATATTGGCGTACGATGTCAAATTCGTGCTGAAAATTGATTTGAAAAATTAATAATTGTTAATTTTTTGCAATAATGCGTATAATTTGGCCATTTTTGAAGATATTTAGCTAAAACTAGCCAGAGTTAGTCATAATAATGCGTTCTATCACATACAGGAACATACGGTTTTATATTCCGGTTCCGGTTTTTTATATTCCGGTTCCGGTTTTATATTCCGGTTCCGGTTTTCGGAATATTCCGGTTTTTTCGAAAAGTAAAAAAAAAAATTGAAACAATGTAAAAATATAAATTTTGAATTTTGTTATAATTTTTTCTCGAAATTTTCAAAATTTCGAAAATCCGAGATAGCAGTTGCTATTTTGCTACCGCGCAGGCTATTTTGAGTCCTCTCATGCAAAGAAATTGGATCTAGCGTAGCCAGGAGCCTGCCACCACCTAATAGGGTTAAAAACTGAGCTCTTGGGAGCGATTGCCGTGGTTCAATGTTTTGCGTCGAAATCGGCCGAACATGACGTCACTCTGACGTCATTTCTGGCCGACCTATGGTAGGTACGAAGTTCAAATTTTGACACAAGGTGTCAAATGGATGCAGCCGAAGGTACTGAAAGTTTGGCGTCGATACGTCAAGCGGTTTGGAAGTTATTGTAGAAAAACGGGAGGGGGCTATAAATAGCCCCCCCCCCCCCCCCCCAGTGGGGCGCGGGTAAATTAAACTACGCTGTCAAGTCATTCATCTTTTATGATCGTGTTTCTTTTATGTGCCCCATGTATGTTATATGACTGCAGCCGTAAGTGGTCCTGGAGCCTGTGGTTGTTTCGAGCGTACCTAATAAATAAACAATAAACATAAACTCTTCTTGAGCCGCTGTGTAAACTTAAATGCGCGGGCTTCTTGCCTTGTCATACTCTTAGTTGTCACCTGACAACATAAATTATGCATACCACCGATAACAGTAGGTAGTACCTAGTTACCTACTACTGTTATCTGTGTGCATTGACTACTTCTGTGTGCATGTAAATGCAGCTAGGCATTTGAATCGAATCGTAGTCAATGATTTACTGTAGTGCAAAAATCGCAGGAGTTGTCATCCGTGCCCAAATACCCGACCACGCAGCTACCTTACATTTGGAGGACAGCCGAGACTCGCCGCAGACCAGTCTAGGCTACCTCAGGGTCTGCTCACAGCCCATTAGGGTAAGGTGCCTAATTAGCGACCCCCTTAATTTGAACCGTCGTTGCTCACGCTCTGTGGGTGCCACTGTATTACTGGCTTGATTTTCGGAGAGATCGTTCATTTTTCTATTAAAATATAGTCATTTTCTGCCCCAATATTCACTACCTTATGATCTTATCTGTAGTGAGCATTCTGGCAAACCATTGCAAAAAACGCTAATAGGGAACTCTTCCCGATTAGCGACCGGGGAGGGTCGCTAATAAGTCTATGGGTTTCCCCATATAAAAAATGGCAAAAAATGCGACGCCTGAAAAGATGAAATATGATCTCAAAAAGGTAACCTATACGCAAAGCACTCAATCACTCGAACAGGAACGTCTATCCAACACATTTTCCGTAAGTAAAAACTGATCACGTGATGCACCGAAGGCGAAACGAAGGCGGAAACCCAAATTTTGCGGGCTATCTCGTATGATATTCGAGGTCCGCGCTGAATTCGGCACCCCTGCAGTCGGTGACGACATTTGGCATTCCCTGCCACACATTGCAAACTTCAGCAACACCTCATTTTCCTTTCTCTCTTTTCCCCTTTCTTTCCCTTCTTGAGCTATTTGCGACCATGTCAGGCGCAAATAGGAAATATGAGTTGCGACACATTTTTAACCGCCATGCTGTGCACAGTTGAGCGATTCACTATGGGAAAACAGCAATCAATTGAAAAAGGAATGTCGATTCAGAATAAAAAAGGTGCATCATCCTAATGTGCATCGCTTTTCATCAGAGAGGGTCCAAACAGACACGTTTTGGATAAGAAAATCGTCATTTTTATTTAAACTCACCTGAAACGTCCCACCAGAAACATCGACGATCGGAAAATAATTTAATTTGATAACCAAAGTATGGCTGACCTTTTGACGATGTTTTTACCCCGTTTTCTCCTGCCAGTTTTTCTGTAGGGAGGTAGGTCGCAAATCGGAAAGGGTCGCTAATTAGGCACCTTACCCTACTGAGACACATCATCAACGCCGAACCGATCATCCCGGGATCACCCTTCACAGCAGAACTGCTCCCGACCTGATACGTACCAATATTTCTACACAGCTACTTACCTACTGATGCGATTTTGATTTTATTAGATTGCCAACAGAAATGCGTCCATGCACAAGCATTCCACTAATAAAATCAATTAAATGCAGGTAGGTGTAATTTAATCACTTGTCGTCAAAATCATTATGGATACTTACAGATAACGTTTACCGAACAAATACGCCTTACAGAAATAGAGTACTTCGCAATCAGGCTAGTATATACCTACAACACATAAAACAACGGTTTCACACCTCAGCTAACTTTCCAGTGACGGAGACGGATTGAATGTTCCTTGAGAGAGTTGGGCATTCCCATGTTACGCGCCCAATGGATCGTTTAAAGTGTTAATGATTTAAAATGGACGGAGCCTTTTGTGTGAAAATTGTTTATACCTGTCGGCTATCGATTATTATGGACTAATAGGTAAGTGTGATGTAATAAAGGTTGCCAATCGTCACTCGCTTCTGTCACACACGTCATGCAAGCAGTAGAACTCATTTACATAAGCCACAGTTGACACTGCACTGCTGTTTCTACACGGATCAACTTTTTTAGAGTAACACTGCAGAAGAAAGACCCCTATGTCCCGGTGCGACCGACTTTAGCGAGCGGCATTTGAAGGAACGCCATTTGAGCGAACCATTTTCAGCGACTGCCATTTCCGCGATAATCAATTCGACCGATTATCAATCATAGTGGTAGTGGTTATCCATATGAGCGAAAGCTGTGTTTCAGCGACATTTATTTCGACGACTACTTTTTGTGGGACTGTCATGTTGATCGAAACAATTGCCTACATTTGCCCCCTATCACGAAGTTTTTAATGTGTGAGGTGTGCTTTAATATTCCACCTAGGCACCTGATAATGAAGTGGAATGCCGAATGGACTGCTGTATTCACGATCCGACGGATCCAAGTTCCAAATTTGATGCTATTTAGGAGTAGGTACATCCTTTAAAAAATTTAACAGTTCGAGTTCCCCCTGTTTTTATGCTTTTGTTGCCAATGACGAAACCATTTATTGATAGATTCATGCTGCTTGTTTTACATTTCGCGAAGTTCTCAGCATGTATTTGGGCAAGGCTCCATATCATAGGCAAGCCTTGTTCTCGCCCAATGCCCCAAATAACGTACAAATCTCCAAACATTGGGTGAGGTCCCTGGATAATTATCTGAAGACATATGTGTCACCCCCCAAATGTATAATTGGCCCTAGGCATCCCCTCCGCTTCATATCTCTGACGTTTCATATAGTTCGAGATAAAATTTAGTCCGCCTCCTACCCTCCCACCCCGTATTAGTCGCCGTAGGTACGTGTATTCAAATGATGGGAAAACTTCAAATTACTTTGTTATCTATTCTAAGTACATCAAGCAGAGATATTTTCAACCACATGATGAGACGAAATGAATGCAAAACAAGTTAGCCTTTATTATTTGGCGCATATTTCGAGGGAAAGAATTCCTGGAAAGTCGTAAAAAATGGTTTCGTTTAGTCTGGCTTCGCTTTAACTGCTGGCTATAACGCTCAAATGGAACTGCAATCGCTGTAAAGTGTAATGTAATATCCCATTTACCGCAATAGGTAGGTACCTATATTCGCTAAAAGTGACTTCCCTGATTATGGTTCTCGCTATGGTTTAAATAGCTGTAATTTAATTAGCTGAAATGGCAATCCCCTAAAAAGTCAATCGCTTTAATTGACAATTGCTGAAAATGTGTCGCTCAAATTCAAAGGTTGATCACCCAAACGACGCTAGCTCAGGTGTCGCAGAACCGCTATTTCTACCACGTACCCACCCTCCACATCACGTCAAGTAAAGTGGTAACATCTGAAGTATGTAGAGCCAGTCCCGTGCGGCAACTCAGTATGCGTATTGCCTTACGGTGTCGCCGGCAATACCCTGGCGCGCTTACACACGAACGGAAAGACGTCGGTCATAGGGTTATCGGCCCACATCCCTCCGACAGACGCCGCCATGGAGACCGTGATCGGCAGCACGGGTAGGTCGTTTCCCTCGCCCTCATTCCAGTTTGTGTAGCTAAAGGGACTCTGATCCACCCACACAAAGCCCCTGTCTGAGCGCTGAAGACCGATGTGAAGCCGAGAAGCTCCGTTAGCGTCGGCCAGAGTTTTGATGAAGTCGTTCTCCTCGGCAGAGTGTATGGACGTCAGTCTCGATGCCCGTTCAATGTTGCAGTGGATAACCTCTGCGGTGAGCCAGTCGGTGGCCGATGCTCCGTAGTAGTAGCAGTTGCTGTCGAACGGTTCCCATCCCTCCTCACAGGCCAGCAGGCGGCAGGGAAGCGGAGTGACGCTGGGGTCGAAGTTAACGGCCGCGCAGCCCTGGCGGCGCACTGTAGGCCGGCAGCCTGAAAAAGCGCTAGAAATTCCCCCAAACTGACTGTCCGCAATATGAACAAAATAGGTATCATTTAATCCCAAATTGATCGAAGAATACGATTCCGATGCTAGTTTTGCCCTAAGGTCAAAATTGAGGTCGTCAGTTGTCACCAAACACAAGACAATTTAGACTCTCTATAGGCCACCACATTTACCGATTTTAATGATGAACTTTAGTGGTAATTTATTAGTTGACCAATCGTCGTTTTGAACGAAATTTCCTGTCAGACTAGTTCAGGGCACTGTTGTTCACTGTGCCAACATCATTCTGACATATTGCATCGCTTTTCTGCAAGATAAGCTAGCTGTTTGCAAGCAGCTGCAAGACGTAATTTAAAATCATATCCAATTTTTCAATTAGACTTTTATAAAAACGTTATTTCGAGCGGCTAAAAATGAACATTTCATACTAGCCTCTGATTACTCATCTTTTGTTCCATATAGGTGCTTTGCTGCTTTTCCCTGCTACTTTTCGAGATATGCGCCAGTAAACCACATGATGTAGGGGCAATCGTCACCTCGCCGCTCTACTGAAGGCCCGGCGCTCTTTAAAACGCTGGAAGTTGTGAAAAACAAATGCTTATAATCTAAATGAAATATATGTCCCTGAGCTCAGAATTGATCAACGCACACAATGCTGTCAACATTTCTGGGCCAAACTAAAAAATTCAGTCATTATTAACCCCTAAACACAAGTCAGTGATAATCAACAACAACTTGCTCTTTATGTTAGACTTTTTGAGAAATGTTATTTCGAGCCGTTAAAAATGGCCATGCCATACAAACCACCAATCATCTTTCTGTCATGCCCTACTCGCAATTTTTGCTAATGCCTGCTGCTCTTCGAGGTCACGTGACCTCAATATTAAAAGTGAATGGGGAAATAAGGAAACTGTTGTTTTTGCGCATGGAATGATTTCAAACTATCTCAAGCACACGGAATCGTGATTTCGTGCATTCCTTGCAAGATCCGATGCTTTACTTTTGCATTTTTGACCTTACGTGACGTCATTTATGACGTCACACCGGTCATAGGAGTTTCTCGTCAATAACTCATGATCAAATTGAGCCAGCGACTCGGGAAAGCCACCAGTGGACTCGGGAAGACCTCCTAAATCGAATGATATGCGATACGACCTCCTTCGATTAAGTTCGTGGCCTGATGGGCTCTGAACTGACCTTGACTCGAGGTCAATACCTTAAGTTGACCTCACCCGAACAAAAAGTATACCATTCGACGCGCCTGAGCCAGACGAACACGATGGTGCCAAAATCGCTGCTCTGCGGCCATTTTTTGCGAAATTATTTGTCAAAAACCAAACCCTACCTTGGGCTTTTTGACTTCACCTCAGAGGTTACCGGTTGACCTGGAACCTTAAAATCGGGTATCAATCGTTCCGCCTTGAAACGGCGCACACGCTTGTTTTTTCCGCGAGGCTCTAGCTCCATTAGGGGCGAAGCGGCAAAAAGGGGTCGTACCAACCCTCCCCCCCTCGGCCGGCCGAGGGGGTGGGGGGTCCGACAATAGGTCCGGCGAGGGTTAAGAAGCCCCACTTCGTTTTTAGCATGTTTGCTTGTCACTGAGATCAACAACTCAATCACAAATAATTTCTAGCACTTTTCCGGACCCCCGGCCCAGTGTGCGGCGGGCGCAGCGGACGCCGCACTCGGTCCTCGAGGACGCCGGCACCGAGGCCAGCACGGTCATCTTGTGGTCGGACCAGGCGAGCATCCAGAAACGTGACGCCGGTACTGGCGACGACAGGGCCGGGGGCACCGCCACTGCCGTCACCAGCAGGAGCAACACCAGTGGCGGCTGCGGCAGCAGGCGCACCGACGGACGGGACATGGTGACCCTGCAGCAGGGCCAGCGTGGAACGACAGTCAAACGGAAAATAATGCCAATATTACAATAATAATAATACCTTAGCCTCGTTTTCTTCATCATGGCGATGAACAATTACCTCGAACGTTAATCTCATCAACTGGCAGGTCAATAAACGGATTGACAATTTAAGGTTTCCCTGGTTGATTACCTATTTGACTAAATATTAGCAAATTAAATGTCGGAAACAAAAAAGTCCTGATTTATATTGTCACAATTTCTAATTTGATTGAGACTGGAGATCAATCACAGCGGACACACGATGGTTGGTGCGGGATATCAAGTCAACGTGTCCAAAGTCTCTGTTCAGGTAAGACATTTGGGACCTTTCCCACTAAACTACGTTGCAGAAAAAAGAGCAAGTGGCATCTCCAGATATGCTTTTACACAACTACAATGCAGCTGCCTTCCTCTACGTTATGTCCAACTAAAAGGATAGGTACCTATTGGAGAGTAGGTTCGTTACGAACGTCACTAGACTCAATCTTTCGACTATGATAATTTCGACACTTTTGGCTTAAGGCCTGGCTACACTATGCGTTTTCTTCGTGCGTTTTTTGCGTGTTTGCGTGTTTTGCGTGATATCGTTCTAGAAAAAGGAACGATATTACGTTTTTGTGATGTTTTTCACCTTAAATTTTAGTTACATAAGAGCTATATGAGCTTTTGTATATAACCAAAGTAAAAATTATACCTATTGTTTATAACTTTTTTCCTAGAACGATATTACGCAAAACACGCAAACCTGCAAAAACGCACGCAGAAAACGCATAGTGTAGCCAGGCCTTTATAAAACAGGGAGTCTAAATCTATACCGCGCCGATCACTAAGCTCACCGTTTCAGTCCGCGTCTCACGTTCGTCTTCTCTGGGGACTCCGCGAGTCACCCGTCAGCAGCCGGGCGTCGCCGAACAACAGAGGCAGCCGGCGGCCAGAGAACCGTGTTGTTTACACAGCACACCCATGGAAACGATAACGTAGTCCTCCCGTGTCGACAAGCATTGGACCTCCCGGCGGCCGGCTCCCGCGGAAGTGACCATCATTACAGCGTGCCAAAGGCGATTCTATTTAGGGAGCATTCCAGGAGCCCAAACAAAGTGAACTTGAATGACGAGGTTGAACAATGAACATGGCTGTGACCTGGTCTGACATCAACAGCGGCGTATAGACGGCCGTCAGTCATGCAGCCTGTGAGGGTGATTAACGGTTCACTGCACATTAAATGACTTGACGAGCTCGCTCACTTTATCACACCTGAGCAGTGAGCTTGAAATGTGTTGCTAAAAGTCCTAGGCCATTGAGAATTGTCCTTAGTCGTTAGCAACGAGTAACGACTGCGAAACAGTGCGACCGGTAGCTACACAGTTTTTAGATATCAAAGGGGAACCGCGATGGTTGAAAAGCTCCCAGGTAGTCGGGTAAATAAATAACATAAAACCCAATTGTGCAACAAAACATTTTCAGCCAACTGACAAGTGAAGCGAAGGCGAAACCTGACCTGGAGGCCGCGAGGACTGATGTCGTTTGCGAAGGGCACATACAAGAGCAGGACTGTGTACAAGATGGGTACTCCCATTTTAACATACCGCTGCCTGATCCTGCACATTCCCTGCCTACGGCAGAACCCTCGAACGCTTACACAGGTACGGATACACATCGAGGCACAGATTATCCGCCCAGGTTCCGCCCTGCGAAGCAATCAACGTGGCTGCGAAGGGGAAGAACTGCAGGAAAAATACGGTCGAATCGCTGCCCTCGCCGGCTCCCCAGTTTAGGTAGTCGACAGGGGAGGCGTCCTCCCATTGGAACGGGTTGCTGTTGGCCCGGGATAGCCCCAGGTACAGACGATCGACTCCTTTGCTTTCGGCCAGACTCTTCACGAAGTCGTTCTCCGCACCAGAGTGGATCGAGGCCAGAACTGATTGTTGTTCTCCGGTGCAGATGATTCTTGCCTCCAGGAAATTCTTGCCGGCCGTGGCCAGCCAGTAACACTGTCCATCGAATCCTACCCAGCTGGTCTGGCAGGCCAGCAGGCGACACGGCAGAGACGCGCTGCTGGGGTCGAAGGAGGCGGCCGCACAGCCCTGGCGGCGGGCGCAGCGGACGCCGCACTCGGTCCTCGAGGAGGCCGGCACCGAGGCCAGCACGGTCATCTTGTGGTCGGACCAGGCGAGCAGCCAGAAACGTGACGCCGGTACCGGCGACGACAGGGTCGGGGGCAGCGCCACCAGTAGTAACACCAGCAACAGTAGCGGCAGGCGCACTGCCAGAAGGCGGTAAGTGGCCATGACAAACTGCCAATGAAGAAAGTGTTTGAACTTGCAGCTTCAGCGGACATGCTGACAAGTTTTGATGGTTGCTACATGTGTGTATTTCTCTTCATACGTTCGCTTATCGAAATGCGGCAGTGTGCACGTTCTTAGGAATGAAGGGCAAGTATATATTGAATAGTATAATCTCAACTCACCCCACTCACCGTTTTCTTGGAAATGGAAGCTGACCAGACTTCAGAGATCTCGCGACCCTATGTTGTTGCCCAGTTGGACGAAATGCTGTAGGACCTCTACCGTTGCTGCGGTGTTAGACAGATGCCCTCCGTCTTGCAGTACGTAGACTATGCGTCCGCCATGGGCGCAGCCTCAAACTGTTCGAGCGTGGCCACTCGTCGCCTCTAGCGGTTTGAAGAGCCAAGTGCGCTGGTGAGGTGAACGGGAACGCGGAGTACCGGGGTGTGTGGGTATCACCATGGCAACCCGCGCTTAATTAGAGGCTCCCATGACTCCTGCGTCGTAGTACCTACATACTACGGGTCAAGTGGCGTAATTTCGTTTCGCAAATTACGTGCTCAGCAGAGCTGGACAGAACCCGAGAAATCATACCGCAATTTAATTGCAAATGAAATGACAGTAGGGGTTACGAATCACGTATATTTTAGGCACAATGGTGATTTCACGCACGATAATCCGGCAGTTTACGTCACGACCGCGGCATACGGTTCACAAGGCACGAGCATTATGTTTCCACGGCAAAGGTCGCGCTTGCTCGCGAACTGTTTACCTTAAATCAAGGGCATTTTGGCGAGTTGGTGATGGTGATCGAGTGGCATCTTCTTGTATTTCCTTCTTCAGAGCAGCTAGCGCCCAGAGGCTTTCCGTGAGATGGCTAACAGAGGAAGTCAGACCCACGACAACCGACACAATGGAATTTCACTAGATCCTTTTACCCAGAATAAGAACCCGCCACAAGAAATCCACATAGAGCTGTGCTCCATAACGGCGGCATAGAGTGGTGCTTCATGACGGCTATAGCCTATACAGACACCGGCGTGTGGTGAGCAATGACGATAGCGACTATGACATTCTACCTAAGGCCCCAGCTTCTACCATGGCGATGGTGGAAGTACACCGCTGAACGGTCCCGTGACCCCGCTCCCTCCTGCGTCATTCGAAGTCACGTGCCAAACTCTCTTTGTACACCCGGAGTTAAGTTGGGCACAAAGGCCGCCGAATCGACCGGCGTCGAGCAGGGGGTTTACCTGCAGGGCAGGTGTCACGACAAGGGACCCAATAGACAACCAGGCAACCAGGACGTCACAACCCTGGTTGTGACGAACGTCGGTTAACTTGCAAGTTTCGCTTTTCGAGTATTGTTAGGTTCGGGATCCATACATCAGAGTCTTTGTTCGAATTCTATGCGTACCTATTCTTATAACAGGTGATGAGTTGAGTTATTTACTACCCATGAGGCGAAGACGTCATACAAATTGACAATGGTTAAAAATACGCATATATTACGCATAAACAAACCAGCCAATTGCTATACAATGCTGAGTTCACGCATCACAAAGTTGATCAAAATATTCACTAACACGAATGCATTTATAACGCATTGAAAGGCCATCGCAATGCAACAATATAATGTATAATGACTGAGGCGATGATGAGACCATTTCAAAACTCTACGGAAGCTACACACTATACATTCTACACCCTGCATCTATTATACAAAACAGAATGGCAACGGAACACCTTAAATTCACGAGGCTCATGTCGAGGGAATCTGTGGGACCTCCTTCAATTAGAAAATATACTCGTATTTCCAAAAACAATACCCATTCCAAAGTTCATATTTGAGACTGATATCTCGAACGCTAGCATACCGTAACTTACGTACAGTCACGTGTGCGTCACTGTGCTATGTGTACAAATCCACTGTAGCGGTAACTCCACCATTGTTACGATTCAAATGCTCCATCAATGCATTCTTTGGTTCAACATTAAAAACCTAAATTGAGAGCGGCATTCATCATGTCAGTGCTGATTTCGGCAGAACCATTTCAGCGAGGCAGTCGTTCAAAGAATGCATTTCGAAACCTGTGCCCGATGTGTCGACTTCGAACGATTTATACCGATTGTTTTTGATACTATGTGTTTTTAATTTAATCACTAGTGTCCACTGACGAAGGCACCCTGTGGCCGAAACGTCTGGTTTTAGGAATTTGACTTGTGTTGCCATCGATCGTGAATAAAACTCAATCATGTCTGATTATTTACAAACGTCTATTCGCAACGATGGCAGCGTTAACGTAATGAAATAATTCAACATAAGGAAAAAGATAGCAAGTAATCTAAACAGATACAAGTTTCTCAACGACTGCCTCGCTGAAATGGTTCTGCCGAAATCAGCACCGACATGATGAATGCCGTTCTCAATTTAGGTTTTTAATCATCATCATCATCATCACGTTTATTAAGAAACAAAAGAATACACAAAATCAAGATAAGTAAGAACTGGTGCAAAAGCACTCGAAAGTGCTTAATTCGAGGCACCAGCTCTGTTAAAGAACATACAAGCAAATAAACACATACACACATATACAAGAACTTAAAATGGATTCAAACAAACTAAATCGCCAGTCGCCGCCACCAAGCCGAACGCGTCGCGCATTAGAGGTTGTCCAGAGAGCCCCGTTGCCGACGCCACCCCACCGAGACACGCCCATCCCGCCTCGTAATTAAATAGTCAGAGTGTTGGGATTGTAAAGCGCCCAGAATTAAGTAAGAACTTAATGTTGAAACAAAGAATGCATTTCGAAACCTGTGCCCGCTCCACAAATGTTTCGTGTCTGATGAGACTACGAGTTCCATGATCCCCATCAGGCTTGCAGCGATCTGCCCCTGAATGGTACGTTACAGGTCGAAAGGACACTCCAACTCCAGCTAAGGCAGCGTAAATTACTGTGTACCCTCCCCCTATCACTGAAGCCGGGCGGGCCGCCTGACCACACGTACCGGTCGGCCGACCGCTCGTGTCACACGGGGGCTGCTGCGGGAGCCCCTACCGGTCCCCCGACCACTCTCCTGACTCGGAGAGGGGTCAGCCAGAGCCGTCTTTGGTTTCTTGGGCGTCAGCACTATGGCAACCTGAAACACAGACGCAAGCAGCTGATTAATGCATGAATGCGTGGGCGTTATGACTGGGTATATCTTCTATAAGAAACGTTTTATCACGGGCCATCTACAATTACACTTAACATACGATAAGTGCAAAGTATTCATATCCTATGTTCGAGCACACAAGTTCCCGCATGAAACTATTTTTCAGAGTTTTACACACCTGGAAATGGAATGAAACTCATTGGTTGGGCTGGGGCTTTATGTAAGCAGAAGTAGCAACAGTCACCGTCCTAAATTAGAACCACACCAGCTAGTCGCCAGGTCTGCCCAGGGTCCTTACCTCCCCTTGAAGAGGTCTTTTGCGGGTAGCTGCCCTCCGGCCTGCGCCGGCAGCTGCCGCGGCTCCGTTTTTCAATAAAACATACTCGGCTCCATCTTCTCCTACTGCATCTTCATCCGCACATCCAGCTTCTTCGTCTTCCTCTTGCACAGCCCCGTCTCCTTCTGCAGCTCCATTCGCACTTCCATCTTCTTCCAACTCTTCCCCATCCAGAGTTTCATCTCCCTCCATCCCTTCCTCGTCCGCAGTTCCATCTTCTTCCCTTTCACCACCGTCACATTCGTTCTTAACCTCCAACAGCCGACATACCCTCCCACTTGGCTCATTCTGACTACCCGGCTCCTCCGCTTCACCCGACGCGTTCCCATCGATATCGTCATCACAAACATCCATATCCATATTTGGCCTGGACATCCCAACCCCTCCGACGTCATCACACTCCTCTGACCCGTCACTCTCAGTCTCTACCTCTGCCGTGTCCTCAGTCTCCGTCACAGTCTCAGTCACCGCCGCTTCATCCTCACTATCACTCTCGGGACACTCTCTATCGTGTCCGTAATGATACGGATACAGGGTGATCCTCACTCGACCCGCTGACGACTCGGTCGCGCGCAGTGTCGACGTGCAGCGGAAGCCCCGGTTCTCGTAGAGGTGGAGTCGGGAGGCGGCCTCGGAGCCCCGACCGGAGCGGCAGCACACATAGGTGGCCGGCCGGTCCCATCGCAGCGGACGGGCCACCAGGCGGTAGCGGGTTTGGCTCTCCCGCTCGTAGGCTGCCTTCCACGTCATGAACTCTGTACGGGTGCGAGGGGATGGTGTTAGAGTGCCAGTGTCGATCTTTATCTATGCTTGAATAAATATAGAGGGATAGGCCTCGGTTAACATACATTTTCAGGCCGGGGCAGGACGACTAACATTGACATGAAAACAGTGGGCATGTCCTCAGAAAATGAGAATAAAATTACAGGGCATTTCATGGCAGTCGCCAGTCAGTATCCTTTCGCAAACCACCTGCATGGAATTTTGCAATCCCCGTAAAATCGAAAGCAGCAGTACAAGCTGAAACGAGTACATTCCATAATTCAGCACACACACATTCAACGACGCAGTAAACAGACCAAGTAACTCCTACCACGCCATGACACTTATCCTGAGTCCCTATAAGGTCGGCATATACCTTCGACCGTCTTGAAGCCGGTGGTGAGTTTGATTGCCGCAGGCCTGATGCCGTGCTGTTCGGTCAGATGACATCTGAGCTGCGACAGAAAGCCGAACCTAGCGGTGCATCTGACTCCGGCGGCGTCCTCTTCATGGCACACCTGTGTGCGCGGGGAGGGGCGAGTGAGAATGGGTCGACATGAGCAACATGTGATGGGTGCCAGGGTATGTCGGCCTAAACAAGTCCCAGTGAGGGTTAGGTTAGGGACAGCATCACGTCACCGTCAGGAGTTCGAGACATCACATATTTTACAGTTGAGGCATTTAAATGAAAATTCACGAGGTAAATATTTATAAAATAACATCTCATTACGGTTTATTTCTCAACTTGTCGACAACTATGTCATTTACGTACGAGATGTTTAACGTCCTGCGTTGCCAGGAAGTTGTGGGCAAGTCTCTGGTGTGTGAGCAGACGGGCTGCATTAACGCCGCGGTAGCCGCACTGGTCACAGCTCAGGTCCTGAAACCTCGGGCGGGGCGGGGGGGGGGGGGGTGAAGCGAGGGTCAGCGTACGGCATCTCCGCCACGGTAACCAGCTTTACATCATATTTACAACATTATGGCGTACTCTGCAAGCTCCCGACGTTAAAAAATAATACTGATATCTTCATCTTTTTGTTACAAAAGAGGCAGGTGTGCAAGCGTGAAGATCCAATTTCGCGAAGTAAATCGGTGTCTATAATCAGTGAGTGTATCAGTGTCTATTACAGTGTAGTGGAAGTCACACAATACGATTATAACCGAAGGTTTGTTGTCAATAGTTAAAACACTTTTCTTTAGCATTGTGTTTTTCTATTGAAAAACAAATCTGAGTTCCCTGACAATTTGGCAAAAGCTGCCTGAGATCGGTATAACGAGGTACTATAAAAGACAACGAGTTTACATGAACAGCGAGATGAACTTACGTTTTTCTTGGCGTGATATCGGTGTACGTGAATGACCAGCTCCTTCTGTGACGGTGCCAAATGATCGCAGAAACTGCATTTACGACTCTGTGGGAGAAAACGCGTCATTACCATCGAGTAACAACACACAGCAGTGCGAAACTGAAAACAAAAACCAAAAACCATGTGACAAAATTTAGCCTTCCTCCAACTAGTCTCTAGGGACTCGACAATGGAGATATGGCCGTAATCTCCGCCGGAACGATAGAAAACCCTGTCCTCCCGACTAGTGACTCGCCGAACAGCAGCTGAAGCCACAACAAAATCAAACTAGCCGCTTACCTCTGGATGCGCCTGGGTCTCGTGCTGCCTGATCTCCTTCTTGAACATCGATGCGTAGTTACAGCCTGGAAAACTGCATCGCTGAAAGGATGTGGTTTATCCATTACAGCCAGTGTATGACAAAATAATACGCAGGTCCCACCCTCCATGAATTCTGCTTCCTCGTTGAAAAATACCAGATATAGACAGCCCGAGGGAAACCAAGAATCACAATATCCTATGAGATGGCAGATGAAGTTAAAGAGGTTTATAGCAAAACTGGTGGCATTGCTGGCTTCGTCGTCATTGGTGACAGACCAAATCGGTTGCCACCTTGTGCTGTAACAGACGCTGGTTTGTGCCAAAAGTAATGGTGCCTAAAGTTGGGCTAAATGCGGATTATTTTGAGCGTCGTCGGCTATCAGATCACGTACCTTTACGCGCTCGCTCGTGTAGACCACATTACTGACTAGCGGTGGTTTGATACAGCCTTGCCCCGCGGGAGCAATGGGGACTGGTCGAGCTGAAATAAATGTTTTCCTTATTTTGTGTCCCAATCGCTACAAAAAAGACAAGGTAGGTAGAATTTTTCTTAATTAAAAATGTGTGATCCAGAACTAAAAATGAAAGTCCAGCATCAATACAATCTAATAAAATACGAGAGTCATACATTGTACGAAACATTCAGCTATAACCGTCCAAAACTTACATTGAAATGATAATTTTCGATAAGCAGTTATCGATTACGACTCTGTATCCAAACCACACACATAACAGCCCACTAAAAGCAGAGTACCACCTGAGTTTCATCTAATAAGCTAGCAATACGGACCGCTTGTGCCGTCAATGATCTGACCCGTCTGCAATAACGGCCGTAACCAGCATGGTACTGCATTGGCCACTGGGGAAGAGGAGCTGGAGGCCAGCCGATGTCCCTTTTCCCGTGAGCGACGTAGCACGAGATTTATCATGCATTGCCAGATGTCAGATAACATACTTTTCTGAATACAGACCAAAATAATTTAGTGGATGACCAGGACCACCAACCGGGCCAACATGCCATATCAAACAATTTTCTACGACACCATAGGCTGGTACGAACATACCATGCTGAAAATACCAATTCCCGTCCGATCACTGAAGTCAAGCCGCATCGCGCCCGGTTAGTACTTGGATGGGTGACGCCCTAGGCTGCAAGACGATCACATTCACAAAAAAAAAAAAAAAATAATAGAAGAAGGACGCCCAACGCCGAAACAGAATGTTACTCCCAAAGTACCCGAACAAACCAGCTTAAGACTAACATAATATTGGTTATGCTATCAACAGCATATGCACCTTATAACTGCCATGTAGCGAAGTCATGGCCAGCACAACCAATCTTACCCGTCATTTTCTGTCGTTTCTTAGGTGGCTTGTGGGATGGTTTAGAGTTACCCGTCTTCTGATCACCTTTTGCTGAGTTTGCCGGCCCACTGACATTTTTCAAACATCCCTTCTCTGTCTTGATCTGAAAATGAAATGGAACAAACTTAACCCGCGCCCTGCTGGGGGGGGGGGGGGGTGTTTGAACACCCCACCCTTGTGGTTTTTCGCGAATATCTCAAAAACGGCGGCGCGGAGCGCCGCCGTTTTTGGTACACCTTATCATACATCAATTCTACACTTGTGAAAATTTCAGACCAAGGTCATTCAAGGTCAGGTCACCAGGTCACTTTGAAGTGACCTCACCTCATAAAAAGTTTCAATGTCTGTCATAGCTACACCGAGTGACCGATCGCCTTGAAACTTTCAGCGATTGCTAAGAGCAATAGCATGTACAAAATGTATATCTCAGAATTTTGATATCGATGACCTAAGGTCAGGTCAATTTTGCGACCTCTCCATTATAAGTCAATGGGAGAAAATTGAAATGCGCCTCTTTTGGACGAAAGACATTATAAACACTCCCAAACACTGAATTACAAGTGGTTTAGACACACTGAACATGAAAATGGTGTCCGTGACCCCTGTTTATGCCCTGAGGTCATCTTAGGTCACGAATGGTATCTAACAGTTTTTCGCAAACAACTTTTGATAGAGGCATGCTAGAGCGATGAAAACGCCTTAGATGTGTTCAGCTCGACGATACGAATCGACTGATATGCAACATGACCCTTTCCGGTCAGGTCATGACCTTGACCTGAGGTCAAATTTTCAAGTTGACCTTTCAAGGTCAAGTTATAGTTCATTCGATGCGTCTTGACGAGAGGAACACGATGCCGGTAAAAGTAAGCTCGTACAAGGCTTGGGTCAAAAGTTATTGCAGAAAAACTGTTTCCGAAAAAATCGGCTATTTTTGCAGTTTTTGCCCCCTGCAGGCAAAACCGTTGACGTTAGGTCAAATCTGAGAGAATTACTCAGAAAGGGCGTTAATAGGGCTATCGAATGCGCTTTTCCGCGGCGCTGTAGCTCTATTGGTTCCCGAGTTATGCGTTGGCTTCTTGGAAATTGTCGACATTCGACCTGGAAATCGGCGAAATTTTGCCTTCAATGACCTCTGGTGACCTGACCTTTGACCTGACCAAAAAATTGACCGAAGTGATTTCGTCATTATTTTTGACGCTCTTTCGAACGCCGCCTTCCGCGTATCGCTACGTGACCCAGGAGCCGAGTTAGAAGGGGGGGGGGGTGTTCAAACACCCCCCCCCCCCAGCAGGGCGTGGAAATCCAGGACCCCCAGCCGGGCGCGGGTTAATACTCAAGTAATGCTCTCAGCTATTATCCCGAGTTATGTCCCACTAAGAACTCCATCAAAACCCAGTCTTCCCCCAGTGCAACACTAAGAACCTTAGGTATTTGCGCTGACATTACCTTCGGAGCTGGCTGTTTGTCCAAGACGCCCTTAATGGGCGTTTTAGGTTCCTTCTTAACCATTCCAAAGGCGTCAGTTTCATCAGCAGACATCATTCCTGCAAAAAAGGAACAAGTTAAAATCTGACAGAATACATGATATTTCAAATTCATTAAAAATACAGATACCGAAATATTGCACAGAAATAAAGCAATCTCGCCTTCACATGCAGGTGATAACCGGCTGTTCAATGGGGACTAGCCCATTGAGTCCCCATTGAGCGTCTCCATGAGCTACATGAGCGTCTCCACTAGGCGGCAGTTTTTTATTATAGGTAGACAGTCCGAGTCTTTTGAATGGAGGGACCCACAATGACAGTACCCCACGGCTAAGCAGAGCTTGTTGCATTGGCCGCACTTTTCGATTGTGCAATGCCTTGTATATGGCAGAACCAAGAGTCCGGAAGTTTAACGTACACACGTAACCGCGTACGGTCTGTCCCTCCCCCCCCCCCCCGTCACCGACTTCAGCTGGTTATGGCCTGCGGGCCCTGCTGCCACCATGGCCGACCGTAACCATACCCGATACATATGGTCACACCCGATGTCTATGCAGGAGTCTCAGACATCGGGCGCCAATGAATCGCGCCACAGTTTGTAACCAGTACACATGTTCCACCACACAGATTCCAGATTCCAACGCTCTACCGACTGAGCTAAGGGAACAGTTCTACCGATAGTTGAATCCAGAGCCAGTGAGTGAACCTACATCACCCGCGCCGCATTGGTGTGGGCTCCAGAAGTTCAGAGGGTGCTTATAGATACCAGTCCATCCAGAGTCCACTGAGGCAAAACACCGCTCTCTGCTCCAAGCTTTGCACAATTTGGACAAGAGTCGGTTGTCAAGTGCTCCGACATTAGTCGCATCGGTGCTCCACAACTGTCACCTCCGATGTAAGATGATTCAGGAAAGACGTCAATGCGCACTGAAGCGGAGCTGCTCAGCCTCAGTACTGGCTCTACTGCAGGATTACCTCACACCAGGGATAGCAAGCTGAGTGTCGAGGTCAACAACCATCAACATTACCTAATCACTGCATCAGCTGTGATGACTCCTGACTCCTAGAATCTTAGTGATGCCTTTGTTATACCAAACTGAAACATCAGCTACATCTCTTGACATCACCAGCCCCCATACCAGTGCAGTAGAGCTTGTCCTGGGCGCTGTTCGGTCGCTGTTTTTTTTATCAGCAGGCAGCGAGCATCCTGCTGTTTCTTGGCTCCTCACTGGTCGAATTCACGTGGGTTATTCATTTGACCAATGAGAGGCCAAGAAGCGCCAGCAATACCTAACTTAACCAGCAATAGGCACATACCACACCACTGTGCCGCCGGAGCACACACACAGAAGGTCCACCGGAGGATGTAGGCTACAGTATGACGATGCTTGGACATGACAAGAGGAGGTCCTCCACCACCAGCTCCGCGCCGACCGATGTCGGTTGCTCCAGGCCACACTACTCAGATGGCTGCGACCGGACACGGACGGCCTGTGCTCGGAGTGTGGAGCGGAGAACACAGAGCACGTCATCTGCGACTGCCCACGTTACCAGGCTGCGAGATCAAGGTACCTCGGCCACATGCCGACGCTGGAGGTGCTGCAGGAGAGACCGGATGCTGTCGTCCGGTTCATGCGACAGACTGGTCTCCTGCAGCAGAGGGAGACCCGATGATCGGCCTGCCTCACATCGCTGGACAGCAGAAGAAGAAGAAGCACTGACAAGAGCTCGGAGAAACCACTGGAGCGTCCGGGCGCTAAACGACTGGAACTCCCTGCTTCCCCACGTCGTGACGGCGACCTCTGCTAGTGAGTTCAAGAACCGGCTTGATAGTCACTGGTCTGATCATATTTATGACATACCTTCTTAAGCTAGAGCAATAACCGAGATTCAAAGAGCTTGATGAGAACGGGTTCAAAAGGCCTCTGGCCTCCCAAAGTCCTGCCAACAGTAAGATAAGGTAAGGTAAGGACTACTGAGAAGAGCGTTGATGGCTGGAGAAAAGTTCATGTTGTGCAGCAAATAAAAGAATTTACATTGCTTCACTTCACACTACAGTGTAGATGCCCTTTACCTGGACTGCCGCAAGGCCTTTGATACGGTTCCTCATGAGCATCTAATTGTCAAGATACAAGGAATGGGCATAGATGGTCTGGTAGCAAAATGGATCACTGGCTTTCTGAGCGGACGTGAGCAGAGGGTTGTGGTGAAGGGCTGCTGCTCGGGGTGGAGAGCTGTCAGGAGCGGAGTACCCCAGGGTAGTGTTTTAGGACCGACCCTCTTTCTGATATATATAGATGACCTCATGAAGAATTTGGACTCTCCGGGGAAACTCTTTGCAGATGACGCAAAAATCTACAGGATTGGAGGCCCCAGAGATGGAGTCATTCTGCAAGAGGACATTTGCAAACTGAAAGTGTGGAGTCGAAATTGGTTACTGGATTTCAACAAGGACAGATGCAAGGTGATGCATTTTGGTCCCAAGAATCCTGGCTATAACTACTCTCTCAGATCAGAGGAATGACTTTAATGGAGACTGACAAAGAAGAGAATCTGGGGGTGATTGTTACTCCTGATCTCAAAGCATCCGAGAAAGTGTCCAGGGCCGCGGCAGCAGCGAACTCCATGCTGGGTAGGATAAGAAAAACCTTTACCTACATGTATGGACATGGAAATGTTCCTGCCCATCTACAAGACCCTTGTACGACCTCGAATGGAGCATGCCATTCAGGTGTGGTCACCTTACCTCCAGAAGGATATTAACAAGTTGGAACAAGTTCAAAGGAGAGCCACAAAACTTATACCTGGACTAGCTGCCAAACCATACAAAGTCCGTCTGGTGGAACTGAACATGACAACTCTGGAAGAGAGGAGACAAAGAGGAGACATGATAGAAGTATTTAAGTTGATACATGGATTTGATATGGTCAATGCAGGAGAAGATTTCCTGAAACTTGAAACAGACGGCCACAGGGAAAGGACACGAGGGCACACTCTGAAACTCCGGAAGCCAAGGCATCGCACATTTAAACGTAATATGTTCTTTTCATCAAGAATTATTGAACAGTGGAATAAGTTGCCTGAAGAAGTTATAACGAGCAAGAATGTTAACATTTTCAAGAACAAGTACAACAAACACATCAAGAAGACTACGGAGAGAGGCACTCACCTGGTTCACTCACCTGGTGGGGTTCCCAATCTCACGTCTGCAGACAGGAAGGAGTAGGCAGGGATACAGTAGGAACCCGCAGACACAAGGCGCACCAGTAGTTGCTACTACCGGAGTGGAGCGCCTGCACATATGTTTGCGCGAAAACAGGCATGGTTCAAGATGCAAACAAGAGTAGTTATGTTGTACATAATTGATGCAGGAGAAAGACAAAGTCAATGCTACTTTAAATGTGTCCATGGTACAGTGCATTTCGCAAGACGGAGAACAAAACAAGGCGGTTAGTGAAAGTCATACAGAGCGTCGCCTAGGGCTTCCGCCAGCAAACCCTTAAAGGTTTTGTAGTTAGGTTCCATTACGACGTGCTCCGGGAGGGAGTTCCATAGTCTCACACCGCGCACCGAGAATGACCTACGCCTGACATCAGTCTGCGAGCGGGGATGGAAAATCTTAAAGCAATGTCCGCGCATGCCTAACTGAGGAGGTAGAGTGAACAAGTCAGCGGGGGACACCGCACATTTGTCATGGAACACCTTCCAGTACTGAATCATATCAGCCCTTAGCAGTCTGCCTTGAATTGAATACAAGTTCAGCGATGAGAGCCGGGACCGATAATCCAGACTCGACAGGCCAGCGATATGCTTGGTCCAGCGACGCTGGACCGACTCCAGAGCGCGCAGGTCCCCCAGGTACCCAGTGTGCCACACACACGAGCAGTACTCGATAACTGGTCTTATGTGAGTACGGAAAAGTGTCAGCATAAAGTCCGGAGATCGGCACACCGTGCTCCTCAGGAGGTTTTGAGAAAGACCTGCGGCCTTGTGGACAGTAGCGGATATGTGGTCGTGGAATTTGAGGCTCGAGTCCACCAGTACTCCGAGATCCGGATGGGAGGGGACAACTCGAATCGGGGAATTATCGATGTCATACGCTGGAGGTGGAAGAGATTGAGATTGAGCCTTGCTCTGAAAACGTATGACCACACATTTGTCACGGTTCAGGCGAAGGTCCCATGACGAAGAAATACGGTGCAGGGCAGTGATGTCCTGTTGACAAAGCGAGGAGGCATGGTCATATGCGTCTGCTGAGCTGTGGGCAACTTTCATGTAAAGCTTCAGATCGTCAGCGAAAATCTTGTGACTAGATGCGAGACTGCTACCAATATGGTTAATAAAAACTAAAAACAAAATCGGACCAAGGACCGAGCCCTGTGGGACCCCACTGGACACGGAGCGAGTTTTGCTCAGTACACCTTTCACTGACACAGACAGAGATCGACCAATCAGAAAATCTTCAATCCAGTAGATGAGGGGCTCAGCAATGCCGATCATGCGAAGCTTGCGAAGAAGGATAGAGTGAGAGACAACATCAAATGCTTTGGCAAAGTCAAACATCACGAGGTCAGTAACACAGCCATCATCAAGCCATTTAGACACCTCGTCATATACAAGGATCAGCTGATCCTGAGTGGATCTCCTGGCTCTGAAACCGAATTGGTTATTTGTCAGCATAGAGTTCTCTTCCAGGTAGGTTGTAAGCTGCTGGCAGATCAGGCGCTCTAGACATTTGCAAGACACTGAAGTCAAGCTGATGGGACGATAGTTCAGGGGGTTATACCTCGAGCCCTTCTTGAATAAAGGAATTACGACGGATATCTTCCAAGAAGCAGGTAAGCGACGTTCTCTGAGTGACTGTCTGAAAATAACAAACAAGGGAAATGCTAGGCTGTTTGCACAAGCTCGTAAGAGCGATCCTATGAGCATCCTGCTCCCTTTGCCTCTTACAGATCTACTTGGTAAGCATCTACTCTACTTGGTAAGCAACTTGTATTCAGTGTTATCATGCTAAAGGCTAAAAGGTGTCTGGTTGGTCAATGGTCAATTGCAGAATTGTTCAAAATGAGCTGTGAGCCTGAGTGCCTTTTGAGCCAACTGCCAATATCAAGATAAAGTTTAGTTTAGGCTATAGCCTATATCAATATTCAACCCTACCACAACGGAAGCACTGTTCAGAGGGGTTGAAATCGCATTCCACATACTCAAGGCCATAAAATAATAAATATTTGACTTTTGAGCCACAGGTTTTGAGCCATGTTTTGAGCCAGCAGCAGATTTTGAGCGAACCTGTGCTTCCATTCATGAGCTATAGATGGCAGCACTATATCCAACTGCTGTACGCAAACTTAGAGTTTGCACCGAACTTTTGTTTTTTATCAGTTTAATTTGAAAATTTAATTTTGAAACATAAAAAGAAAAGCCAAGTACCTGAAAAAGTGAAAAATTATCGAATAAGCATTTCAATCGAAAGCTGAAAGGTCTTCAACAGCTGACATAAAATATTCGCCTCATGATAGACTCGCGTGCATAATGGCTATGCAGAGTCCTTTGTCGACGCTCTGCTTTTCAATGGGTTTATATGCGCTGTAGTTGCCACTAATGGTCCAGGGTTTGAGACCTAATTGAGCCAGCTTGAGCCGCTGTTGAGCCGGGTTGAGCCGTTGCCGTTGGATTTGGAATTTGGACTTTGCAGCGTTTTATTGTTTTGTTTGAGGGGCGGCGTGCTACATCGCTGTTGAAGTGCATGGACCTTGGTAAAACTGGATCGTCATTCTTCAGCTTCTTCTGTACTGCTGATTGCAAAGTAAGTCACTTTATTTTATTTTCCCCTGGCGCACCCATGAAAGCAACAGGTGGGGTCAGGATTTGGTGCACTAGAATGAGCATTGCTGAGGTAAAATTCCTGTGGCCTGCTTTTTTTTGGTATGCGACATTTTTTATGGATTGGTTTCCATTTTTCTTGGCTTGTTCTTTTCTAAAGCCTTTTGTGAACACATGAAAGGCTTTTTCCAGCTCGCTTGTCACATGATGATAATGATATCGACAGCCATTCAGTATTGGAACTCGAGCCTTCCTTAAACAAGACCTATCTCATCAACCAGTGAGTCAATATGTCCTGGATTATGGGTGTCAGTCACACTCACATTTAAACTGGTTTTCCCAGTTATGAATTATTTTGTAAATGCTTATGTAAATAGCCAATCCTGATGTAGTATGTGGTCCAAGCCGGTATTTGCTCGCAGAATCTTTGTTGCCACTTTGAAGCATGACATATTTTGTAAAGGATGATCTGGTGGAAATAATTGTTATTAATCCTTTCTTCGGAGGCCTGTATTGATCGGGACAGTGAGGCGGCCAGCAGCAAGCGGCAGCCATCTTATTAAGAATTTTGCGGCACTGGCATTCACTGGCATTCAGTTTTGCTAATATCTGCTCAGCCAAAATGATGAATGAAAGTATTCAATAGACTTCCACTTCACATAACCACTTAATAATATTGGTTCCTAACATATAAAAATCTATCATTTTACTACCCACTATACTATTGATCGCCATGTCCCTTTGTTGGCTGCTCGTAGTGGGTTCGGCCGCAGAGTGTCTGGTGTGTGTCCAATGTGAGAATCTGGAGCTACATTCCAAAATCAATGAAGTGTTAAACTTTCAAAAATCAAAACTCATGGATCTTCATTCTTTTATAGGTGAGGGAATGTTTCATGGATAAGTCATCTTATATTTTTTTCTTTCTAAAGAAGCTGATATTTATGAGAGAGGCTCTTCATTGCTGCTGTCATTCCAAAGCTGCAAATTTCAAGAAACCAGTATTGGCATGCTGTTCTTCAGTATTTGATCAGTGACCAAATATATTCAAGTATGTCATGAATACATAATGAGCATGCATTACCTACATTACATTGTTTCCCAGTTTAAACAAGAGCTCAGCTCTTTCATTAGGGAATATTATGTACAATAACTGCCATGTTGTTCTCCACTTTTGGTTCCCTTGCCTATAAAGTTAAATTTTAATTGTATTGCATGTAGGCATAGGCTATACCTAACTATGCAATTTGACTTGAGGCATAACCTGCCAATGCTGTTGCTTTCCATTGTGTATTCCCATGTCTGTTGTGAGATATTGCATTGCAAGGAAAAAGTAACCTAGATAGATACTCAACAGTAATTTCATGGGTATTACATATTTCACAGTCATTTTTATTACTAGTAGACATGCAAGTCTGCAATCTTAATCATATGCATTAATGATCCAGTATAGAGTGGTCTATTTTACACTATTTATTTATTATAAAACACAGCTTGGTCATCTGTATACTTGTTGAAACATCATACTTATTCCAATTTGCAGAGTGAAACAAAACTGTCCAGGCATCTTTTTTTTTGTTCCACATCCAAAAGAACAGTTTTTCTAATGTTAGGACTGGGAACAGGAAAGTTCAACCTGTGCAGTGACTGAGGTCCGGGCCACCTTCACACCAATGGGGACCCCCCCCCCCCCGAATGAAAACGAAGCGAGCTATCAACATGCATTAAACGGCATAGGATACAGGCAGACAAGGACTACAATTTTAACTAATGAAGTTAGAGCAAAACATCGAGACCATCGTACCATCGAGATCCACTCATCAATGGTATGTGTTGTTGTGTGGATATTTTGGCTTTGAAAAATCGAGGTCAAAATTTTGACCTTAACCCTCGCCGGCACAGGGGGTGCAACCCCCTTAAGGTTTTTTTCGCGAATAACTCGCGTAAAAAGTGGCCGATCGCGACGAAACTTTCAGTACCCTCGCATTGATCAATTTTTCACCTACCCTGAAAATGTCATGACCCTGACCCAAATGACCTTTGACCTGTGGGCTGTGACCTCTTTTCCGAGACCATGTTTGGCCGGAATCGCGATTCGGCGCATGTCGGCTCGCATTAGCCGCGCGTTTGCAAGCTTTTCGTGGTTTCAAACGTTCAAACATGTGATTTGATGTTGCTCCCATGCAATAGGGTGGGTGTGAAGGTCACCTGAAGGTCAGGTCAGGTCATTGACTTTTGGTGACCCCGGTTCACTTTTTCGAGTTTTACATGTGTCTAGGCTAGTGTTTGGAGCTGAATTCGAATTTAGCAACCATTTGAAGTGGCGATTTTGAACATTTACGAAGTACATCCCACCGCTAAAGTAATGTAGGGTTTTACCAATCTCAACGGTTGGCTTTGACTGGCGATTGTTTAATGCTGAGTGATCGAAAAGAAGATGTCAATAGCTAAAGTTGCAGCTGCAAGGGTGACGATACATATAAGCTACATTCAAAGTTTCATTGTAGTCTGGCTTATCGTTCCTAAGCTTCAGAAGCAGAACATACCCATGACTGAAACCACACATTACTTCTGCTGTGGACTGTAGTTTTGGTGCCTTCGTAACATGTTACGAAGCTGTCAGAGGCGGATGTCAGGTACTACGAATACCCGTCACGACCCCTACCGGTTGACGTGACCTGGCGTGACCCGACCTGGTCTAAACTCTTAACGACATCATCTGTGATCAAAACTAACACGATATTCGTGAATCGTGATCAGCACCCCGGAGAACTCCTTAGCAGCCACACTTAACGATTTTCTAACAGGTCCCGATATTACCGATTTGGTCATTGATCTGACCTGGAAGGTCAACCGATGACCTAGGACCTTAAAATTGGGTATCATTGGCTTCCTCTGGTGACGGGCAACACGCTCGTTTTTTCCGTGAAGCTCTAGCTCCATCAGGGGCCAAACGCGAGGGGGAGGGTCTTACCAACCCCCCTTGTGCCGTCGAAGGACTGAAAATGGGCTGTGCCGGCGAGGGTTAAAGGGACCCTCCCACCTTAACATTAGATGTGAGTTGAGATAGCCAAAATGGGGTCCCTGGCTCACAATTACCGGTTTCGGCACTCACAACATCGAGAAATGCCTTAAATCGGAAATATTGAATTTCAAAATTGCAGCATTTTGATTCAGAGGGGCTAATGCTTAGGAATACCCCTCTGAATGTGTGACGTCAGCGCAAATATCTAACGATTTTTAAATGTTTGACTAAAACGTTTTGTAGCACGCGGTGGTATATGCTATTTGCGCGCAACATCTGCCGCAAACGCCGCACTTCTAAAATAAAGTCGCGCTAGAAACAGCGGAGATCCCAAAAAAGTAAACAAAAGTAAAAGTCTAATATCTTGAAAACCGGTGAATATTTTTCGGTGAAATTTGGTCGATATTCGTTTTCGCTCTTTCTGAACCGAGCGACATCACTTTCATGCCAATTCATAAACTTTTTTGAAGGTGGGAGGGTCCCTTTAAGGTCAAGTTTGGTCTTAAAAAAACGCCTATCATTTGATGTTTCTTGACTGGCTTAACATGGAACATGCGCGCGGCTGCGCCTCTTTCTTATAAGAGTTTGTTAGCAACCATGTTTTGGTGAATTAAAATTACTTTTCATGACCTTATAGTTGGCAAATATCAAACAGTGTGGTCTAGGCAGTCAAGATTGTTTATGAATTACCTACGTCATTCATGGTAGAATTGACCATTACGACGCATATCTGTGAAAATGAAGCATGCAACCCCCCCCCCTTCTTTGGGGAGTGGGGACTCAATAAATTGACCGGATCTTATGTCATCGATAAGAAATAATTGAACATACCTATGAACTTTTTACACCAGTATAACGCCTTTTGGGGCGACTAACGGAGCGAGCGAGAGGGTGGGCCTTGCACGTGCGAAATTGCGAGGGGGTACCTCCAACTGACTTGTGCACGACACCCTACTAACCGGTCTCTACCGACGTGCCAAATTTGGGCACAATCGGCCCAGCCGTTCCCGAGATCTGGAAGCGGCACCCTGCACGTGCGCACGTGCAAAATGGGTCCCAACTGACTTGTGCACGGCACCCTACTAACCGGTCCCTAACTGTGTACCAAATTTGAGCGCAATCGGTCGAGCCGTTCTCGAGATCTGGAAACGACCCCTGCACGTGCGCACCTGCAGCAGCACCCCAACTCTGGCACATGGATATGCAGTGCCTAGTGGGTGCCTACCTACATGCCAACTTTCAGCGCAATCGGTTAAGTAGTTACCGAGATATTGCAACAATTACAAAACGGACACCTCTTCGTCTTGCACGTGGCACGTGCATAAGGGGTCACCCACATGCATCAGGAATAGTCCAATACTTGGTAGAAGGAATGAAGCTACCCTACAAAAATTACCGCATGTAAATCGGTCAAGTGGTTGCTGAGATATAAGCCTCGCAAAAACGTCCGCACGGCCGGCCGGCCGGCCGCTCATACTCAGAAATTTCCGTTAATCTAAGCAAAGACTCCGCTCGCTTCGCTCTCTCCGTAATCATGCAAGTTTCAAAGGCCCGTAGCTCATTTGGTAGAGCGTTGGTTTCTCGGTGGTTTCCCCGGTGGTGAGAGCCCGGGTTCGAGTCGCTCCGGCGCTCGATATTTGATACTCCTGACGGATGGTCTGCGGTTGATGGATGGAAGCAGCCGCAGCCAGTTGAAGTCACTGGAGTGTGACAGGCCGTGTCCGGCTTTGAGGGGCATGCTAGTTTGACATATAAAATTATCTCGTTACCCAGAATTGCGCAATGCGCGATCGCACGGTAGCGGTTGGGGTCTATGCAACAATCTTGGCTTAGCGTGGGCTCCAGAGCTGTCAATGAAATTCTCTCGTTACCCAGATTGTCCGATCGGACGGAAGGGTTATGGCCTACGCAACAAGCCTAGCTTAGCGTGGGCTCTAGCTCTGTCAATTCGTCCGTTCAAC